AAATAATTTAGAGCTAAGAGAAATGTCTAATATCTTTTAATATGGCAAATCATACTTCCAGTTTTTCGTTTGGTTCACTATGGTAAAAATACACACAAGATAAAATTTACCATCTTTACCACCTTTTAGTGTGAATTTCAGTTGCAGAAAATATGTTTGCCTTGCTAATAGTTATGACTATCTTTTGAACTCTTTTCCTAAGGCAAACTGAGCTGAGGGATTTAGTGACATTCTTGGGTGTATCAGAACCCCAAATAAAAGCCAGACTTGATTAAGCTATATATACACACATGCATATACATGAATAAATATATAATCTTTCCCATATATATTGTTGGTTGTAATGTAGAATTCTGACCTCTTGCCTCAGGCCTAGGTCTTCTGCAGAGTCTTCCAGATTAACGAGAGATGAAAAGGGCATTCCTCTGTCAACAGTAATTGCTACCTTGTTTTCTGTTTACCTTCCTTAGACAAAATGACGACTGTTGGCTGGAGAGATGGCTCAGCAATTAAAAGCACTTAGTGCTTTTGTCAATGACCTGGGTTCGATTCCTAGCACCTATGTGGTGGTTCACAACCATCCATATTGTCTCCAGTTCCAGGGGAAGCAAAGTCCTCTTCTGATTTCCATAGGCACCGTGGCATGCACATGGTGCACATACATACTTGCAGACAAAACATTCATACAGATAATAAATCCAAAACATTTTAAAGTGTTGTCTAGTCAGACAGACATACATGATCAGAGTTTTTGTGCATAGATTTTAAGCTTGTATACAAAAACACATACATTCATTCACATTCTAAAATCCAAATTGCTCACTGACCAGGAATTCACTATGTAAATCAGGCTGGTCTTAAACTTGCAATGATTCTCTTGCCTCTACCTCCTAAATCAGCATATTGCAAATGGTGGTGTTTATTTAAAGTAAGAATGATTTGACCCCCAAGTCTAGACACAGCAGGACGTGGCATCGAAGACTCCAGCCTTGATTCTCTCTGTTCCCTTTTCCTTTAGGAAGTCAGTGTGGCTCACAGCAGCGTCTACAGATGAGGACCCAAAAGTGCCTGCAAGTATCTTTAGGACTGATTTTGAAGTCACACCTGAATACCTGGGGTTATTAAACGTTTCCTAAGCTGCTTCCTCCTGAATAGGAGATGGGAATAGTGCGGACATCGTGAACTTCACCGTAAAACAAAACCCTTTTCAATAAGAACAATGCTGGCACAAACGTCTTAGACATCTCATTTCTGTACACTAATTAAACAAATACTCTGCTTATGAAGATGTTTCTTCATTAACTTTATTCATGGGTATGACTTATTAATTTGATGTTACCTAGTAGACATTTTATATTATCCATTTAAATTTTGTTTTCTGTTTTGTACCCAGATTCAAGAATATGTCCTTCATGGAACTTTTGAACATTTAAAGTATTTTTTAGATTGTGGTATGTGAGTGCATATGCATGTCACAGTACTTGTGGACAGGGCAGAGGACAACCTGTGAGATTGGTTCTCTTTGCAACCACGTGAGTCCCAAGGAACCCAGTTGTCAGGATTGGTGGTGGTAACCTTTATCTGCCTATCCATCCTACCAGCCCACATGTTTTGACCTAATTAGAATTACGTTCTAAATGTTTTAGTAAGAATTGTGTACGGAGATAGGTGTATTAATGTCTCAGAATAGAAACTTTGGGCCTCGGGCTGGAGAGATGGCTCAGAGGTTAAGAGGATTGACCATTCTTCCTAGAGATCCTGAGTTCAATTTCCAGCAACAGAATGGTAGCTCACAACTATTTATAATGGGATCTGATGTGCTCTTTTGGCCTGCAGGCATACATGCAGACAGAACACTGTATGTATAGTAAATAAATAAACCTTAAAGGAACTTTGGGCCTAGTTTAAGTTTTAACCTGCTAACTCTCAGGAAAGAGAAATATTCTCTTGTTTGCAGACACTTTAATTTGCATAGTGTCCTAATTTATCAAGCTGTGTTCTAGAACTAATTTAATATGACAACATACTCAGATGACTAATCTAGAAAAAACTCAACTCATGGTTTTTAACTTAAGCAAACAGCCTCAATGCTGAAATTTGATGTCATTGCCTTCTGCAATATCTCATTCACATTTGGAACAGTTGACCAAAGCTGGCAGGCATGGACAGAGAGCCTGCCCTCAGTGTAGAAGCCCATAAGCATAGAAGCAGGCGATTATAGGTTGATGTCTCTGAAACCATGAGACAAAATATGTCTTCTTTCCTTCAAGTATATTTCTTGTTTAATACGGCAGTGGGAAAGCTGACCAATAGACAAGGCAATGCAGGTTTTTTCCCCATCAGCATCCTTAGGGTATAAGATGAACAGTGCTTGAACAGCTGGCCTTCAGGAATGTGATTCTAAACCGTCTTATCCTGATACTCAGGCTCACAGTCCAGCCAGTTAGACTGAGGCTAGGGAAAACTGTGTCTTAAACGTACACTGACATTTAGGGATAAGCCAGGAACACATCCAGTTTCACCACCTATTTAACCTTCTTTAATTATCCCAGCCGTGGTTTTCCTATTAAAAAAATGTGCTGGTTCAAAGCATTCAAAGATGCCTATTTTGACCTATAAAATATTACTTCATAATGGCCAAGATCAAAAACACTGACAACTTATGCTGAAGAGGTTGTGGGGAAAAGGGAACACTTCTGTATTGCTGGTGGGAATACAAGCTGGTACAGCCCCTTTGGATATCAGTGTGGCGATTTCTCCAAAAACAACCTTCCTCAAGACCCAGTAATACCACTTTTGGGTATATATCCAAAGGATGCTCAATCGTGCCACAAGGACATGTGCTCAATTATGTTCATAGCAGCATTGTTTGTCATAGCCAGAACCTGGAAACAACCTAAATGCCCCTCGAATGAAGAATGGATAAGGAAAACGTGATACATTTACAAAATGGAGTACTAAATAGCAGAAAAAAATTTAATGACATCATGAATTTTGCAGGAAAATGGATAGAGCTAAAAAACATCATTTTGAGTGAGGTAACCCACTCAAAAACACAGAAAGACCATTATCACATGTACTCACTCATAGGTGGTTTTTAAACATAAAGCAAAGAAAACCAGCCTATAAATCACAAGCCCAGAGAACTTAGATAACAATGAGGACCCTAAGAGAGACATACATGAATCTAATCTACATGGGATGTAGAAAAAGACAAGATCTCCTGAGTAAATTGGGAGCATGGGGACCTTGGGAGAGGGTTGAAGGGGAGGGGAGAGACAGGAAGGGGAGCAGAGAAAAATATAGAGCTCAATAAAAACCAACTTTAAAAAATGTCACTTCATGTGACTTAGAAGCTTTACATGCATTCTGTCCTTTGATCTTTTTGCTGGAGTGGGTGCTCTAATTTTCAGGTTACAAATGAGGCACTAACCCTCAAGCTCCTTTTATGACTTTTCAGCTCTAAAGTCAAAGAAAAAAATCTTAGATATATTTTATTGCACTTCCGTAGGTTTTTTTCTTCTTTCCTTAAATCATGTTCTTTTCATTTCTTTCTTTCGTGATAATCCATCTGCAATGGTTTTTGCTAAAACAGTACGTGGGTGGTTGTGGATGATAGAGCGGGAGTAGGGGTAGAGATGTGTTATGACATTTGCCACTATCCTTCCTGCCAGTTCCTTGTGACCTCTGTCTAGGCTTACTCTTCCAGCTGTCCCTGTGCTTGGCTCTGAGCTTGGGTGTCTGCCTTGGCTGCAGAGCTTCCGCCGAGCATCCACTGGCCTCATATCCCCAGCCCAAAGCCTCAGACGATCCCCCAAAGGGGCACAGCGGGTCAAGGCAAGACATTGGAGGACCATCATTTACCCTAGCCCTCCCAGAACTTGGGGCATGGGCTATCAGCGATATCATGGGAGTGAGGTATAGGTAGAAGTAGGCTCACCCTAGAGGATGGAGCTTGGACCCTCTCTTAGTAATGTTTTCCTATCCCCATGACAAAACACCAGACGAAAGCAACTTAGGAAAGTAAAGTTTTAGTTCTGCTCCCAATTTGAAGGTCAAATGCCAAAGGAGGTGTGGTGACAAGGGCTGCCCTCGCTGTGACAGCAGGCTGGTTATTCTCTGCAGTCAGGAAACGGTGAGAGATGAATGTTAGCTTTCTTCTGTTCATCCAGCCCACGGCCTCAGACCCTGGGATGTTGAGTCCCATATTCAGGATTCATCTCCCAAGTTAAGCTTCTATGGAAATTCACAGAAATACTCATCTATATTTCATTTCCTAGGAGACCTTAGATGGTTTGAGCAGTCACTCCCTGTTTCTTTTCACACAGTCTCCCTTGTTCTTACTATGCCGTGACATGGCATAAGGCCCCCTCAGCAGGTGCCAAATGTCCACTTCTGTGATCATGAGGCAAATAAACTTTATAACTCACCCCGTCAGGAGCCTTCTCTTATATCATCAGGCAATGGACTGACAGAGCCAGTTAAATGGGAGGGAATCTGGCTATGTTTCCTATGCCAGTTTTGTCTTCCATCACAGTGACTTAGTAATGTTATCTAGGCCATGGGTTATCCTGAGGATGGGAGAAAGAGATGCACGTGAAGCAAGCTGGACAACAAGCAACAGTTGCTATATAGTTACCAGAATATATCTAAATAATCGTTGTTTTGATTTATGACAAATGAACTAACCTTGCTTGGCCTGAGAGGATTAAGCATTATCATGCATGTTAAACAATTTTAGTCACAGCACTGGTGCATATGTGAGCATAGTCCCTTATGGCCCTGGTATTTTACTTCTTCCAACACTGTTTGTTCTTCCTGGCTTCACCTTTCATTGCATAGCTAGACCTATTCCTCCCCCCATTCCACAATACCTTCTTACTAACTCACCCTTATTTTCTGCTTCTATTTCTTGCTCCGATAATGTGTGAAGCAACATCTTAGAGGCAGAAGGTGGTGGCTCCCGTTACCAGCTTCCTTCTTTATGTGTAAGCCTTGGGGGAAGTGGATGGCTTGCCAGTGCCCTCAGACATGGGTATGATTAGCACACCTTCCAGGCAGCCAGCAAAAACCCTTCCACTGGATCTGCTGAGGTATTGCACAAGGAAGAGATTCGTTAGACGCCAGGAAGAAGAAACTGCTGGTTTTGGGGGACAGACCGTCTTCTCTTCTGTAAGGAGATGGACTTTCAGGGAACGAAGTCTGTCAAAGCCTGAAGTCTCCAAGGTAAACCCTACAGGCTTCTTCTCCATAGGAATCCCTCTTTCATTTTTTGTCTATGAAAGGTGCCTCCCTGAGGCTCTCTTGAAATGCCTAAAAGTTTCCTATTTGGTTGCTCAGTAGAGGTTTGGAAATTTTAGCTGTATGGATGGCCGCCCTTAGAATGTAGATGTTACCCTAGTGCCAATATTTTTGGCATAATATAGCTATTAATTTGGGAAATGTAGACATGGACAGAGAGACAGACAGATGTGCACGCGCGCGCGCGCGCACACACACACACACACACACACACACACACTTTGCTATATTAAGAGGCTGCCTCTGAGTTTGGTGGCCTGTTATGGTTATGAGAGGACATTCCTGAACTATGAATGAGGTTTAGTGAGATAGCTCCTGTACAGGCTCAGAGAAAGAGGATTGTGATAACTAGAGGCCAGTTTGATCCTTAGCTTCTTTGATCCCTTCCTGGTGGACTTAGGGATGTTATTTCAGGTTCTGTTTCTTAGATTCCTCATCTAATCTATAAGATAGAAGGGGTCATAATGCCAATACCAAAACCAATGGAAGTTTGGGGAACTGATATGAATAAAATCCCCAGAACTTCTGCTACTCAGGACTGGGAGGTAAGCTACTTAATATGTTAGCAAGCCTACATTTCCTTTTTTTTTTAAAGCCTCACTGACCATATTTTATATAACATGGTACTTTATCTGAAGATGGAAGCTCATATTTGATTCTTTCTAAGAAAAACAAGTCTATGATGTGTCAGACTATGTTTCCTTCCCTCCTTTCTGTGGTGTTTGCAGCATGAAAAGACCCAGTGCCTGTGTTGAATTTTTGATTGTTATCCTTAGACATGGCTTCTGAAATGTGTTAGCTGGGTACCAACTGTGGACAGTGGGGCAGTAGAACAAAGATGATGAACACACACAGAGATACAAACGAGCACCTTGAAGATGGAAACTCAGACTGAGGGATTGTTAAAGGGGTGCTCAGGAGCCCAGAGCAGGCAGAAAGGGTTCATCGTTCAGACTGGGCCAGGACTAAAAGGAGTACCGTGAAAGTTTGACTCATGGGCTGGAATTTGATTTGGTAAAAGAGAGGTGCTGTTCAGGCCAAGGTGTAGCAGGAAGGAAGGCTTTGCTTTGAGAGGGAGCAGTTCTAGGGTAGAAGGGGAAGGAGCGGGGGGGGGGGTCAATCCTGTCATTCAGGAGAGTTATTTTGATGAATGAACAAAACTGAACTCTTCTGCTACCTTAAAAAGTATTGTTAGGAAGCAATAGAAGGAAGCATCAAGCTTTTTGGTTCTTTCCCGTGCCAGCGACAAGCAGCCCACTATGGCCTCCCAGGAATTCGATCATACTGGACCGGGGGCCTCAGGACGTAGTACCTCGCCAGGCAGCCACAGAGAGGAGACTGATGGTCCTGCTTATCATCTCCTGGATGGATCACAGGATGTTCAGAGAGGAGTACTGCAAGCCCTCGGGGTGAGTCAGCCTTGGCCACAAAGTAGGTTTTTATAAGAAGGAGGAAAAGGTTATGTGGATTCCCTCCAAAATTTCTCAGTTGTTTTTCACTAAGTCATTAAAGACAAGGTGGGGCCATGGAGACCTGAGGAGTAGAAATGGAGAATCAGTCTCTCCTAGGGTATATGGTTCTAGCAAACTCTGGAGAGTTTGTTCTAAGGCTCTTCCTTGTTTCTTGGTGCTTTCTGACCACTCCTGTCAGGAGGTTGAGTTCTGGGAAGTCCCTCTTGCTTCCCTCCCATCGCCTTGCCTCTCCTCCTCTCCCTTCCCCTCTCCCTTCCCCTCTCCTCCCTTCTCTTCCCCTTCACTTTCCTCTCATTCTCTTCCCTTTCCTCCCCTCCTCTTCCCTTCTCCTTCCCTCTTTTCCTTCCCTGTGGTCCTGGGGATGGGACCCAGGTCCTCATGCCTGCCAAGAAAACACCTGAGATCTACCCCTTTGTGATTTTTAAAGGTGGGGGTCTTACTAAATCACACAGGTTGAACTTGGACTCATTCTGTAGCTCAGATAGACATTTCTGCCTCATTCTCCCAAGTAGCTGGGTTTGCAGGCCTATGATACCAGTAAATAGTCATATTCTATATTTTAAATAAAAAATTTTAAAATAAAAATTTAATAGCTATTTACCTTTGTCTTATTATAATCCTAAACAAAACCTTTTTAGAACAATATCTTGCTCGGTTAATTCAGGCTTAGCACTTTAACCATTTAAAGTTATGATATTTCCTCTATTCTGAGGAAAATAAAGATAGTATTATGCCTTTTATCTTTTTTTCTTCTTTTTCCAGGCCCTCCAGATCCTGAATGGAATACTGATTCTGGCTCTGGGTGTTTTACTGAGTTGTTTAGAGCATTTGTCTTCCCACTTCAGGCATTTCTTCTTCTTCACCTTCTACACAGGCTATCCACTCTGGGGTGCTGTGTTTGTGAGTATCCATCCCCTCCGCCACAGACATCTCTCACCCAGCACTGCTAGGGGGCTGCAGTATGAAGGTGCTCTTTGAAGATTACCAGCTGTGGTTTTGATTTGTAATTTCTGACAAAAGTACGCAAAAATCCTCTTTCTTTCTAATTATAGGAATCACTTCACTTCTATAATAATTTCCAGTTCCATCCATTTTCCTATGCAAGTGATGGATCGATAAAATTCCATTGTGCATAGTGACACATTTTATTTATCTACTCATTTATTGATGGGCATGATAGGCACAACCAGTTCCATCTGCTAGGTGAGACTTAGAGTTCTTGGATGTGCATGTGTGCGCGCATGCGCACACACACACACACACACACACACACACACACACACACACACAACCACACACAAAATCCTACAGCTTTGAAGCCTTATAGACTCAGGAACACAAAAACTGTATGTTTTCGCTTCTGTGCAGTGCCTAGATTTTAGATTTTTTTTATATGTACCTAAATGTGTGGTCCCTCTCTCTCTCTCTCTCTCTCTCTATCTCTCTCTCTCTCTCTCTCTCTCTCTCTCTGTGTGTGTACATAAGTTGTGAAACTAGAATGGAGACCAAGAAAGAAGAAAAAAGGTTTTAAGGGCATGAGGAGGGGCAAAAGACAAGAACAGAATACATGTATCGTGAAAGTAGATTGCGGGCTGCTGTCAGTTCTCAGCCTGATAGAAGACTGTGTGTATTTTCAGTTCACTGTGTGTAGCATGTGTTGGGGATTTGGCATCCCTGAAATTGTGAGAGAGTTGAAAAATTTTTGGTGAAAGAGCTAAACTCTGAAATATTCATGAATTGTTCTGCAGAATAAATCTTGACAACCCAAGTGAAGACTTTCTGCTCTGAATTTTAGAAAAAAACAGAACAAAAGAATTTCAGATGTTCCACAAACATGAAGCTTTATTTTCTCAGAAAGTGAGATTAGTTTGTTTTAAAATGGAAGGGGAGCAAGAGACTGGCTTAGCAGTTAAAAGCATTGGATTTCCCCCCAGAAGACCCAGCTTTGATTCCCAGCACCCACATCTGTAAATCCAGTTCTAGATTTGATGTCCTATTCTGACCTCCACAGGCACTACACATATGTGCATAGACATATGTGCAACAAAACACTCACACACATACAATAAAATGGGAAAAAGGAAGGAATCAGGGAGCCAGTGTCCCGTTGACCTCAGCATCGCCAGAAGACTGGATCATTGATTCCAATTCTCGAAGTTTCTCTCTGGCTTTAAAGCATTTCAGGGCAAGTTCAAGGTGTATGACCCATTCTCCCTTTCTGCCCTTGCCTGTAGTCATCAACTCCCTTCCAAGCCCTCCCCGTGGTGAACATGCCTGCTGTGTGCCTATACAGTCCTTTCTATTGCTTCAGCTTTCGTGATCTTATCAAGGATGTGGTTTTAGAGATTAAATGTGAACTTTCACCCTCAGTTTCCTTAGTAGGCTGTCAGAAATAGCAAAAGAATCTTCTTTTGGGATCTCTGGAATTAAACAATAGCTATGTATTGTTAATTTGGATGCTTTCCGTATCCTGGGCAAACACATACTCCTGTTTTTCTATCTTTTTTTTGTACCGCAGCTGTTAGCAGGTGATGTTAACGTGGGGATACGGATATCAGGGGGAAAAGGAAGCTGAGGGGGAAGAAAGGCCTAGTGGTCTACCCAGGAGATGCAGCTGGTATTGAAAACAAAGGTGCTCTTTCACAAAGAACAACAGAGGGAAGGCCTGTGATAATCTCTTTATTATCCAAGGCAGAAAACTCAAAGCCTGCTCCTACATTTTCTTTTTAATTCTCTCTTACACTGTATACCAACCACAGTTTCCCCTCCCTCCATTTCTCCCAGGCACCCCCACCTCACCCCCCAGATTCACTCCACCTCCATTTCCGTTTAAAAAAGAGCAGACCTCTCAGGGATATCAACTGAGCATGCCGTAACAGTTACAATAAGAGTAGGGACAAACCCTCATATCAGGGCTGATAAGGCATCCTGATAGGAGAAAAAGGATCCCAGGCTCAGACTAAAGAGTCAGAGACAACCGTCATTCCCACTGTTAGGAGGCCCACAAGAACACCAAGCAACACAACCATAACACATATGCAGAGAATCCAGCCCAGACTCATACAGACTCTGTGATTGCTGCTTCAGTCTCTCTGAGCCCTTATAAGCCCTGCTTGGTTGATTGTGGGGGACATGTTTTCCTAGTGTCCCTGACCCCTCTGGCTCCTACAATCCTTCTTTTCCCTCTTCTGTGGGGTTCCCCTGGGCCTGCCTGTGTTTGGCTCTGGGTCTTTGCATCTGCTCCCATCAGTTGCTGGGTGACAGCTCTTTGATGACAATTGTACTAGGCACTAATCTATGAGTATAGCAGAGTATCACTAGAAATCATTTTGTTGACTTTCAGAATTCAGTAGTTGAATTTCATTTAGCAAGCCTTTGTTCTCCAAGATTTGGTAACTTCTGTTGAGGGAATGCTGAGGAGAAAGTGGTCAAGACGACAGAGCCCCCTTATCTGTCTTGCTTTCTGTTTTAAACAGTTTGTCTGCTCAGGATCCTTGACGGTTGTAGCAGGGAGAAAGCCTACAAGGATGCAGGTAAGTGTCAACTCTTCCCCCTTTTCTCAATGACCAGAGGAGTAGAAATAAATTATCCACCAACAGTAAGAAGGCCGAGGTTGGTGAATCCCGCTGAAGAACCAAGTCTCATTTAATGCACAAGAAAATCAATTTTCTTTAAGCATTCAGTGATAGATAATCAAGGAGATCAAATAAACTATGAATACTCATGTCTGGGATTGTTATTATGAATAGTGAGTGAATCTGAAGCTTAGAAGCAGGTTTCTTAATTTTTGTGTGTTGTTAGGCTTAACAAATTATTTTTAGTGAATGGTCTTTCACTACTACCTTCAAAACTGGAAGCAAAAATTTCTATCCTTCTAATTAATTAATTATTTATTTTTTTGAGACAAGAACTTTGGGTGGCTGCCCAGGCAGTGAGATGTCTCTGTCAAATCTAGAGATTTGGAAGTTGCCTACACTGCACTTCCTGTTTACTTAGGTAATATTACATTCTTATGGAGTCTTTGATGGAGTTGAAGACTATATACAATTTTTGTTAGTTATAATAAAAGATAAAGTAAATATAAATATTGTAACTGTGATTATTGTTTGATACCTGTTTTGTTATATATAATTTTACTACGTTAAAGTTAAAGCCTTCCTTTTTATTTAAATAGAAAAGGGGAAATTGTGTGGGAAGTCCTTCTGTATATGTGTTGCTTTTATTGGTTAATGAATAAAGAAACTAGTCTGGCCTGTGATTGGGCAATGTAGAGCTAGGCAGGGTCGGGGGAACTAAACTGAATGCTGGGAGAAAGAAGGCTGAGTCATGAGAAGCCATGTAGTCCCACTGGAGACAGACACTTCATGAAACTTTACTTGGGAAGCCACAGCCACATGGCGATCCACAGATTAATGGAAATGGGTTAACCAAAGATATAGGAGCTAGCTAACTATGCTTAAGTGATTGGCCAAGCAGTGATTTAAATAATATAGTTTCTGTGTGATTATTTTGGGAGTTTGGGTGGCTGGGAAAGGAACAAGTGGCCTCTAACAACAGTGTACCCCCGGCTGTCCTGGAACTCACTCTGTAGACCAAGCTGGCCTCAAATTCACAAGGAAACACCTGCCTCTGCCACTGCCTTCTGAGGGCTGGGATTAAAGGTGTACTCTACTATTGCCTAACCCTAATCTCCATTTTAAAAGGAGTTATCCATATTCTATCTTTAAAACCTTCCCAACTCTTTTACTTCCTGTCCTATGTAACTTCCCTCCTTAAGAATATTGAAGGTATCCAGGTTACCAAAGCAGTGCACAGTTCCTGTCCCTCATCTGACTTCACCTATGGGCAGCATTTAGCTCACCTCCTCTCCTGATACTTTTTCTCTTGGGCTCCAGCACATCTTGACAGTTCCTCCTGTCCTTTTAAGTCTGTTTCCTTTTTAGACTGTTTAGTATTGGGGTTCTCAATGTTCCCATCTTTGGCAGCTACCCTGCTCAGTCTATATTTCCTTCCATGATTTCAGTCATTTTCATTGCTTCAAACATCACCTCTATGGTCACACTCCTGAAATGCATGGTCCTGCCAAGATTTTTCTCCTGAGTATCAAATTGAATCATCAACTTTGCTTCCATTTGTAAGTCTAAAAGGTCCCAAACCCAACTTTTCCAGTTCCTCAAACCTGTCCTGTGAGATTGCATCTTCATGTAAGCTGATGGAAACTCCATCCTTTCAGATTCTTAGACCAAGAATATGAGTATATCCCAATCTCTCTTTTCACATTCCTGAAGAAAGTATTTCAACAAATCACATGGGCTTCATCTTCAAGTTTATGTTTGGCCTTTACTCATCTTTCCTTTCATGGCATTCTCTGTAGCCTCCTAAGTGGGCTCCCTGCTTCCATTTGTGAACCTCATTTTCCTGTTCTTAAGACAAAGTGACACTTTTTAGGCTATTGATCTGTTGCCTCTTTGCTCAAAATCCTCCAACAATTTTGCATTTTTCTCAGAATTAGAACTAAAGACTTTCCCCATAAGTTGCAGGGCTTTATATAAGATAGCTCTCTGTAAATTCTGATTTATTTTTCTAATCTTATCTACCTTGGTTTCCTTGCTTCCTGGGGGCACTGTGGCCTCAGAGACTTTGAATTGTCTTCTTTACCCAGACTTCCTCTGGACTATCTGGGGAAAAGCTCAGTTACCTATTTCTATCTCTACATGATATTACTACTGAATGTCACAAATGCCACCCCTTTCTCTAGAATTGCATTATTGCTATGGCATTCTATCAACCTCAATACTTAGTTACATAAAAATATGGCATAATTTACATGCCAGTGTGTTTATCGTTTTCTTTTTTTAGTGTTATTTTCTTCTTTATTTTGTAAGTATATTGGGATAAACAGGAACGTGACATTTCTTCACAGTAACAGTGAAACTTACTAAACTGCCTTGCATTTCGATATCCTTAAATTTTCCTGGAATGCTCTTAGAAATTGATTGGAAAATGGGATTACAATCATTTCAGCTCATAATGACACCTCTTTATACCGAATTTTCATTGATGTTAAAAACATTTACACATACAGGCTGTTTTCCTCATTTATGATGTGGAATCTTGGGTCTATCCATGGCTGTGAGGGAATCGCAGTTGCGTGGTGATGATCTAGTTTCTGCCCTGCCGTTTGTGTTCTCAGTGAACAGAACATCTAAACATGTCTGTCTGATGCTCTGGGAACTCATTTCCTTGCTTCTGCTTCCTTTGTTTCTGCATTCTGTCTCAATCATGGGTCAAAGTGCTTAGAATTCCTGGAATCATCAGCATGCTTTAAAAAAATAGAATATGAACTTTAGCTACACTCCAAGTACATATGTTTCCATTCTAAGTTTTTGTCCTGTGAAAACCTCTCTTCTCGAAGAAATACTCAAGGGTCATTTTCAGTGAAGTTCGCTCCCCACCACTTTTTGCCAACTAAAGTATGTCTTAGCTCAACAAATTGTCTTGTGTATTTCTCTTTTTGTTTCTTCTAGAGAATTTTTTGCTCTCTTTCTGGGCCATTTTTCCAGTCAACATATTTCTTAGTTTTAACCTGCTAATCTTTCAGTTTCTTTGAAACTGTTTTGTTTTTATTTTTTCTTTTTTAAATTTTTTAAAATTTCACTTTGCACCCCAACCACAATTATCCCTTCCACTCCTCCTTCCTCCCACCTCGCCTTCCCCTCAGCCCACTCTCCATCCACTCCCTTCAAAGGATAAGGCGTCCCATGGGTAGTCAACAAAGTCTGGTGCTTTAAGTTGAGGCAGGACCAAGTACCACCACCCCCCCCGCACCGCCCTGCATTAAGGCTGAGCAGGGCATTCCACTATTTGGGATGGGCTATAATAAACTAATTCATGCACCAGGGATAGATCCTGGTCCTACTGCCAGGGGCTTCTCAGATGGACTAAGCTACCCTACTGTCTCTCACATGCAAAGGGCCTAGTTCAGTCCTTTGGAGGTTCTACAGCTGCTAGTCAAGAGTTCATGAGTTCCTACAAGCTTGGTTCAATTGTCTCTAGATATTCCCGTCATGATCTTGACACCACCCCACCCCCCCCCCCCCCTGGGTCATATATTCCCTCCTCCCTCCCTTCAACTGGATTCCAAGAACTTGGCCTGGTATTTGGATGTGGATCTCTGCATCTGATTCCATCAATTACTGGATGAAGGATCTATGATGACAGGGTAGTAACCGATCCGATTACAAGGGAAGGCCAGTTCAGGCACCCTCTCCTCTATTCTAGGAGTCTTATCTAAATGGAGATAGGGTCTCATATATTACAAGATAGCTTTGAGTTTTAATCTCTGGAATTACAAGCATCCTCAAAGACACCCAGTTTATACAATACTAAAGATTGATTCAAGGGCTTTATACACATTAGACAAGCATTTTACCAACTGAACTGTGTACATCAGCCTCTTCTTTGTCTTTCTTTGCTGGATTGCACCATGTAGGAATCTTTGCTTACGGGTGCCCGTGCTGCATCTAGAATACTATTAGGTGTGTAAATAAATACCTCTTTAAATTGAATGTTGTTGCTAAGGTGTTAAAGCATGTTCTAATACATTAATGGACTTTTTGTTTGTTTTAGATGCAAAACAGTTTTGGGATGAACATTGCCAGTGCGACAATTGCATTTGTTGGAACTGCTTTTCTCTCTGTACATTTGGCACTCAATGCCCAGGCACTCAAGAGCTGCCAGTCTTCACAGTCACCTGACCTATGCATTTACCTGGGTTCCTCATCAGATGTATGTTTTAAAGCTGCTAATAGCGTATTTCAAACCATTCAAAAAATAGAGAAAAACAGTATGTTGTATAGAATGTTGACTTTGCTCTTTACTAGTTTTGTACTGAAGGGCACATTAGACAATCTGTCTATATTTTAACTTTCTTATCTTTGAAGTGAGGATAGTAACAGATAGCTCCCATCTAATGGATTGGTATAAAATTCAATATGTTAATATTTGGTAAGTAATGAAAATAGTGCTTAGCTATCATGTTGTATATTGTTATTACTACTATTTATTATACTCTCCAGAGAGAATACATTAAACAATTTATTTCACATACCTTTGTTTAATGACAAACTTCTGAGACACACAGTTTATTCTGCAGTCTAGAATGTTTGTGCATATAAGGTACACACTCTCTCATCCAGGCTATATCCATTATATATATATATATATATATATATATATATATATATATATATTGTGTTTGACTAGATTGTGTTTGACTTCATGACTATGTTGCCTGAGTTCCTCATATTATGTATCTATGTACACTATGTGCATACCTGGTTCTTGAGGAAGTCAGAAAGAGGGTATTAGATCCCCTGGAACTGAGGTTACAGATGATTGTGACAAACGATATTGGTACTGGGAACTGAACCCAGGTCCATTGCAAGAGTGGCAGAGGCTCTTTCCTGCTGAGCTATCTCTCTAGTCCTTCCTTTATTACATTTTCAATCACCTAAATTTGTATTTATCTGTGTTTATTTTTTCCAGATTAAGTGGTCTTTTTCCTTCCATAGACATTTGATTACGTATTTTCTCTAGGTGCTCAGCAATAATGGAAAAGTAACTTCAGCAGTAACGTGTTATGGTTCTCCAGCATAGTACTTTGGTCTGTGACTCTAATGTAAATGCCTAACTGTCCTCTCTGAAATCCTGTTGGCGGAATCATGAAGGGATCATTTTTTTTTGTTCATTTTGCTAAACTGTGTATTGATTTCCGTAACTTATTATATTGATAAGTGCTAGTGATAGTGTCAGAATTTTTCTCCTTTGATTTCTTCTCCCCTTGACTGATTCACATAGGCTGATTTAGAAATAACATATATCTTTCTCCCAGGAGGATGTTTTCATGATTTTGGATTGATAGTGGATCCCTTCTTCACAATTTGTGTGTCTGCACCTTCTGTCTAATTTGTGCCTCACCTTATTCCCTGCTGAGGGTTGTGCAGTCTGTTTCCCGCTGACAGTTTTTCCCACTGAATGTTTCCACTGCTTTGAACTGAGGCATCCTTTGCCTAGGGCCTGGTGTCTCTGATGCTGATCCTCATCCTGCTGGAGCTGGCCATGACCATTTCCATCTCCGTCATGTGGTGCCTAGGAAATGTCTGTGGTTTACGAGAGGTGAGTTTGTGGAAATGAGGAGCAAGTTCTACCATCTGCAAATCCCACAATGTACGAAGCTAGTTCTGATTTTCAGAATGAGAAACTTTTATATGGTAATGATTTGTGGACTTCTGGGAATTATTTACTAGATCAAAGTGTGAGATGGAGTAAGGTTGGAAATGATTCAGATTTGAAAATGTAAGTAATATGTTAATATACATTTTAATGCAGTTAAACTAATTTAAATTATTTTCTTGTAAATTTTTACTTTTGAGTTGTATAACTCAGGATGACCGCATATTCTTTCTGGATATTTAGATCTTCTAATTTAGTTTCTTAAAATTTTCCACTTTCAATATTTTTTGCCCAAGAAAGCTTCACACAGCCTGACATATATAGGAATATAAAATAGGTATTTAGACAAAACATTTACGGATAATAAATAATAAAGAAATTTATTTAAAACAATTAGTTGGTATGTAATTTTACCACTTATTAAAGACCAACACAAACTTGCATATTAATGAAATGAATGTGCATGTTTATTTTTCCATAATAATTAACATTGGCTATATATTGGATACTGCAGGATGGAGATCATCTTGTTTCTGAGAGTTGATTAATCCTCTGATTTTATTATTCTCAAGGCCAAGAAGAGTACATATAGTACAAAGTGACAGACATGTATCTAGTATGTTTATGGCCATTCTGAAAACTTCTGGAAATTCTAGCCTAATCCAGAGTCAAAGTTCATTCAACAATGTTTCATGAAACATGTCAACAATTCAAACAGTAAATTTTAAAACCGAACAGTCTATCATGAAACAACCCAAATATGTGCTAATTTTGCTTAACGTGCTAAGGAAGAATAGTAGAAAAATATTACAGTTATTTGGTTTCTGTAATTATACTACTATGCTTTTATAAGAGAGGTTGCTGCCATTCATAACATACAAAGAGTATTCAATCTGAGCAGCACCCACTGGCATTTTGTGGCATGGCAGCAGCCACACCAAGTCAGAATCAAGTCTTCAATGAAGGCAATGCAACTCAAAATGGGCAAGCAAGACCAGAAACACCTTGGGAAGGTTATACATTTGATTTTTATTGACTTTCCCTGCACAATCTCCATATTCAGTTCTGGAACCACACATATGTAGCAGAAACCTATATAAATGAAGCTGGAAATGTTTTGATTGTCTCCTGATCCATATGGATATAATCTTCAGTGTTTAATAGGATAATCGCCAGTGAAGGAGTATCTGTGGATCTGTGGTAGTGATCATGATGGCTTTAAGAAGGGATGGAGTGGAGAGGGGAGATGATGACCCTCTTCTTGAGAACCGATGTCTCATTTTTCTAGGCAGTTTCTTCACCTCCTAATTCTGCGGAATCGGGAATAGCTCCTGATGGAAGTGATTCGGAGAACCTGAACACTCAGCCTTAACTCACCAAAGACTGAGAGCTTCACTTGAGAACCCAGGAGAGAATAGCAGAAGAAATGCAATCTTTCTGTCACGGCACAATTCATGAGAAAACTGGGCACCTGTTCCAATCCTTTCTGCCATCTCTGTAAATTCACTAGGTGTTCTAGATCTTTATGAATAAATGTATTTCCTTAGACATTCTTTGATTTGCAGCTCCTATGATAATTCTTCCAAAGCTGTTACCAGAAACTCAATCCCTTTCCTTTTTCTCCTTCTCTATTGCTTTGTGAGATTTAAGGATGAGAGAATATCTAATACTTAATTTTTCTTTTTTATTTCCTCCCTTCCTCCCTCCCTCCCTCCCTCCCTCCCTATCTCCCTCCCCCTTCCCTCCTCTCTGCCTCCCTTCCTCCCTCCCTCCCTCCTTCCCTTCCTGTCTGTCTCTTTCTTTATTTACAGTGTCTCATGTCCTGTAGGCTGGCTTCTAACCTATATAACCAAATCTGGCTTTGAACTGATTTTCCTACCTTCACCTCCCAACTTTCAGAATTAGAGGCATGCACAAACATACTTAATTTGATATTTTATACTCACAGTCCTCCTCCCAACTGCTGAGATTACAGTTCCAGTCCCTGTTGTGGGTAATTCCATAAAATCTCAATTGCAGCCACCTCATGGGAAGAAAAATGAGCCAGATCGGTTTCAGCATAGAAAAAAGTGCTCTTGATTTTGACTGACATCAGTATTACAGTCTAACAAGTAGAAACAAAAGAAAACAAAAAAGAAACATTGTGATTAATTTATGCTTTACTGTACTTGAAGCTTAAAGCTTCCGTGTCTATTTCCATCAGTTCCTAGGAGTCACACATGTCCCAACACAATGGAGATTGAATTAGTGACTTTTGTTCTTAAAATGACCTTGGGAAACTATAAAGTAGAGATGTGAAAAGAAAGGACAAAGCGGCAGATCTGGGGTTCAAATTCAGATGTGTCACTAACATCTGGATGGCCATTTTCATCCGTTCTGTTTCTAATATGTTACAGATAATCTACTTCCTCTTATTTGAATATATCTTCAAGTGTCTCTTATCAGAGCATATTAACACTGTGCAAGGACACTGTGATTGCCTCACTAGCATTCCCTCCAACCTGAATTGACAGTAACTTTCAGTTTTGGGTGGAAGTGACCTCACTCTGAGGTCCAGGGATACACCCTGAAGGATCTAACTCTAGAGACTTACTTTGATGATTGTGTTGGTTCATGACATCTTCACAGACAATGACTTGACTCTAGTGTGGAGCCATCTCCACTAAGAAAAAGGCTTTATAACTTTTCATAAAACATGTAACTCAAACATAACTGGAAATAGAAGCCATTAGGAGATACTGACTAAAGCTTGCTGAGTAATAAAGCTGAAGGCCACACAAGAGAAATTCAGAAAACAGAAATTGACTTTAACTTAACCACTCCTGGAATTTGCACCTAGAGTCTGCCTCTTGAGCTCATGATGTAAGTGTGTGGAGGCTAGCGAACAACCCCAGGTGCCATGCCTCCTCAGGCACCATACACTTTTTGACAGGGTCTCTCACTGATAGGAGGGCTCATCAGTAAAGATCAGTTGGCTGGTTAAGGAGATCCAAGGATGTGCCTGCCTACCCCTTGTCACTGATGGAATTACCAGGGTATGTAACC